ACAGAATCCGGATAATAAATGATATTCCATCAACCTTTAATATCTACTAAATGCATCAATTTAAACCAGAGTTAGTGAGTGGATATAGTATCAAAAATAAGAGGTTCAAAAAGGGATGATAATTGCCTACAGAATCCAGATAATAAATGATATTCCATCAACCTTTAATATCTACTAAATGCATCAATTTAAACCAGAGTTAGTGAGTGGATATAGTATAAAAAATAAGAGGTTAAAAAATGGATGATAATTGTCTACAGCCGGATAATAAATGACATTCCTTCAACCTTTAATATCTGCTAAATGCATCAATTTAAACCAGAGTTAGTGAGTGGATATAGTATCAAAAATAAGAGGTTAAAAATGGATGATAATTGTTTACAGAATCCAGATAATAAATGATATTCCATCAAACTTTATTATACTCTTTGTAAACTGTTTCAATCTGTACCTGAAGATGCCTTTATGAGCCAAACCACGAAAGTAATAAATGATATATTTATTGACATTGTTGTTTTCGTTTCTGTAGTTACGGAGTTTCTCCAAGTAGCGACGATTTTAAGTATTAACGATATATCATTTTTAAACTGTGATATATTTGGCCAATAACTTAAATATACATGTATATATTTCAAAGAGTAATTTTACTATGAAATGTTTTCTGAACGATCATCTCCTTTGTGATATTTTACAGAACATGGAAATGTTGGTACGGTATAACCCGTGGAATAAACCAGGGGCAGGAGCACCAATGGTAAGTTGTTTTCTCGATTAGAAATAAATGACGTACCATGAGTTGTTAAGGTAATTTCTCTGTTTTATATATATACTTGTATCTACATTTAAATCTGTAAAATGTTTTGAAATCGAAGCTATTAGTATCTGGTAAGGTTGATTTTGTTACGTTACACTGTTGGGCCTAAAAAGAAAGAAAAGGAAGAATAAATAAATTAATAATAATTTTGAATATCTTCGTTTCTCTTACTTGTTAAGAAGAAAATTTAATTTATAAAATTCAAGTTTTTGTTTATATCTATTTTAATATTTATGATCATACCCGAAAATAGATTTAGATAAAAAGATGGCAGCACAGTCTGACAAGATCTTGTTCTATTCATGTTCGTTATTAATTAAAGATGCTTATTTTGGCGCCATCTGTTGTCAAATGCTTCAAGATCTAAGGGAGAGAGTATTTTTTTTTTTTTTACTTTGATATAAAAACTGACGCAATTTATAAATGTTGTGGTAAATTTCAGGAAAATTCAAAGAGGACTAAATTCATAGAAGAACAACTGGGCAACAATGATAAATTAGACGACAACGTTTTAGGGGTAAGAATTAACGTGTAGCATTCTTTGATTTAATTTAAAGTTTATTTCAAGTATAACACTATAGTATCTATCATCTAGAAAACGTGGCATTTATATTACTTGAAACTTGTGCGTATTAATGAAAATTAAAATACTTCATAAAAATTTTCATTATTAATCAAGAAAGATAAATGTATTCAATTAATGCAGTTTTTTTTAAATATCACATGATTTTAATAATAAAGATCACACTCTTTTACTGACGCTATTTCTTCAGAACACATTGACTGGATTTGGTAAGCCTGGCGCTGGTGCCCCCCATCGTACAAAATCTGGTCGTATAAAAACTCAGCTTTTTGGAGATCCAGAAATCCGGTTTCAAGACGCCCAAAAGGTCCGTCTCAGTATTGAAAATCAACTTCGGTACAAGAATCCCGATAAAGATAATCCCATAAACTCCCAAGGTAAGAAAAATAAACAAAATATTCACAATTTACTCAGGTTTAACTGATGAGGAATTAACAACGTTAATTGTTACCTTTTTTTATTTTTACTACAGTTGTTGTGCGTTGTTGAATATCGCGCGAAACTACTCGAGGGCTATTTGTGCTAGTCGTACTTAACTTGTGGGCTACTTTAATCGAATAGTTGGATTTGACTGTCGTTCTTATAACGCACCTACAGCCTCAAAGTGCGGAGCACGATTTATTTTCGGTGATAATGGGGGAGCGAACCACGGATCCAAAGTCCGGCACGCTAACTGCTGGACTGCTTTTGACCTTCTTAGTTATTTTGTTGTTAAGCGCAAAGCTACACAATGAGCTATCGATACCCGAACTTTAGCGTGTAAAGCCCTCAGACTTATCGCGAAGTCACCGGGTCATCCTTTAAGGACATAATTATAAATTACCAGAATTTTATACGTTAAGTTATTCCCAAGCCGAATAGTACCTTATACATAAGTGGGTTAAACGATCAGGTCAATGACCCTAGAATTCTAGAATAGCTGTGCTTAATTTTTAACTACTGACCAGAAGGAAAACACCAGCCGCCATAGGATCTTTATCCGGTTCTTTGAAACGAATAATGGGATTAGTTGTCAGTATATCGTTAACCCTTTAATTACTCTTTAATCCACAACCTGACACGTTAACCACTAGGTCACAAACGCCCCTTTGTGAATTCCGAATAATGCTTGGTTTTTTCTAATTTTATTATTAGATGACACCACAACTGACAATTAATGTATTATTTGTTTCTTTGTAGTTAGGCAGAAAGCTACACAATGGGCTATCTGTGCTCTGCCCACCACGGGTATCGAAGCCCCGTTTCTATCTTTTCCAGTTTACTAAGATTCAATCTTAACAAATTTTCTAAGACTCAGTCTTTACCAATTCACTAAGACTCAATCTTTTCCAGTATATCAAGGCTCTGTCTTTTCCAGTTTTACTAAGAGTAAGTTTACTAATTACTAAGACACAATTTTTCTACCCCTCCCGCCAGTGGCACGGCAATATATCTGCGGACTTACAACGTGAAAACTGTGCGGTGTACAGATAGCCCATTGTGAAGCTTAACTACAAACACTCTTTTCCAACTCACTATAATACTCATGAAGTCTCTCCTACGAAACCTTCTTATTTATTATAAATAGCCTAATGCAATGAAATACTCGACAACAGTATAAGAGAACTTCATGTGGTTTATGTTATCAGTGCGTATGTAGTCTGTGTATTACATCAACAAGGAAGCCTTTCACCCACACATGCAAAGAATAATCAACAAATATTATTAGCACTAAGCACCACAATGTATTTCAAAACTTCTCGTAAAGAATTTTTAGCAAAATAACATTGAATTATAGTAGACTGTACTGTAGTAGAGAGGAATTTATGTGTGATACATAAGTATTTCAAACTGTACGAATTAAACTTCCGAATTTTAATAAACGTTATCAGGTGAAACTCACGTTCAGAAATCTATTTATTTTAGTTTCGATGTGTGTTTAAAATGTTTGATTTAAACAAACTAACGTCAAGACTTCGTTGTAGTTACATCCAAGTAAAGCGTTTATGTAAACCTACGCAGCAGATGGCGTTAATTTCGTTATTATCATTTCTTAATTTTCAACATGCCCGTAATTTTACTCACACCAATCGTTTTTTTTTCTTCCAGAGAGTAGAAAACAGAGGCAACTGGCAAAAAAGAAACAACGAATGCAGTTAGAAGATATGGTAGGTTTTTTTTTTCAAAGGAAAAGTTATAATTTACTCACAATAGTTTAGTTTGGTGGTTCCCATCCTTTTTCATTTCACAGATCGGCAAGATCTTTGTTAAAACGTTACGGAACGTTAAAAGAATATAGGCTTAGGGTATAGTATATGATTTATACACACGAAGCACACGGATATATATTATAGACCCTATATGTCTAAGACGGCCCACTTAGCCAAAAGGTGTAATCAGGCGCAGCGCTCCAAGCGGTAGGTTTGATAGAAAATAACTATGCTACTGCTTAGTAAAGTTACTAAGTAAAGAACCCCTGCATATAGACACATATAATTTTATTTCCTATAACAGCAAAAGCTAACAGACTGAGCGACATATTTTCCAGTTTTTGTTTAATAAACGTACTAATTATTGTTTGCAATAAGTTTTCTCGTTATAATTCACGAGATTCACTTTGCTACTTCCTAATATTTGTTACATATCTCGAATTTTCATACGCACTATACTTTAGTTTACCACATCAGCGAAAATTTTTTATCAAGAGACAGTAGAATAAATGGCCAGGTGGCTCGACTCGCAATCTGAGTGTTGAGGGTTCGAATCCCCGTCCCACCAAACATGCTCGCCCTTTCAGCCCTAGGGGGCGTTATAATGTGACGGTCAATCCCACTATTCGTTGGTAAAAGAGTAGCCCAAGAGTTGGCGGTGGGTGGTGATGACTAGCTGCCTTCCATCTAGTCTTACACTGCTAAATTAGGAACGGCTAGCGAAGATAGCCCTCGTGTAGCTTTGCGCGAAATTCAAAACAAACAAACAAACGTACCACAGATCTTGACATTACGATTTACAAACTAATTAAAACACTCACCTTTAAATTTGTCCACCATAAACGCTAATTTAGAGAGGAAAATTATAATTTTTCCCATTCATTATTTTATTTTGGTGTTGTTGGGCCTCACCGAAGTAATACTGCATGCACTCAGTACTCGAAAATATACTAATAGTTGTATAAATACGGCGATCCAATTTTATTTAAATGCTATCCAGAAATTAGGGATAAGTGGATAACTCCATTAACTCCCGATCTTCGCTAATAATCCGTTTCACTCGAAAGCAAATAATAAAATTTATTCTATTTATAGTGAAGTTTTATTATTCGCTTTGTTTTTATTATTGCGATTTTAATTTTGTTTCAACAAAATTGTAAGAAATGATCGTTGAATGCCCCCCGAAGCGCCAATGGTGACTAATCTTTGAACTAGTACACACTAAAACATGAACAGTATACAAAGATGACTTCATCCGTCGCTATGATCTCGTATTAAACAAAAGAAAAAAATCGTAATTGTAAGCTATAAACTCCCGAACGTGTTGTAAAAATGTGAGGGTTAAATAGACGACTTGGTAAGGACGTGAAACCAGCCACCAGATGGCGGAGTTCAAATTTAATTACCCTTGAAGAAATTTGTTTATTTGCTGTTAAGCGCAGAGTTACATAGCGGACACCACTGATTTCGAAACCCGTTTTTTCTCTTTGTGAGCTGTATCCATCACAGATATCGAAACCCAGTTTTTAGTGTTATAAGCCTTCAGTCTTATCGCTGAGCCACTTGGGCGCTCTACTGGACGTTTACGTGGACCAGTAAAATTTAAACACGATCCCGGACAAGCACCAGTCCGCGGACAGCGGTGGGAAACACTGCTTTAAATGAAGCAAGTCGAAAAGTTAAATATAAACAAAAATAATAAGTATATACGTTTAGCCTAGCCGTGATTTAAATTAAAATTATTTGTCAATCAAACTTTTTAATTAGAATCAGAGTAATCTAAAACATTCGAAATGTTCTATCAACACATTGTGTCATTAGTAATGTTTGTCTGTTTTCTCTTACATCCTGTTCCAGCAGAAAGCCAGTCTTAAAGAGGTGAGTTTTATAAGTGAAATTAAAAGAAACTCATTACATTATTGTTGATTATAATGCTCACCTCAATGATTTTCTAGTTGATTGACAGATTATTTGATGTTTTTGTTCGTATACCAGGCATCTAAAGAATGATATGTATTCTATTTCCATATACAAGTTCAGAATTTCTAAAAAAAATAACAAATTAGGTGTTTGTACTGAAAGTCATTGTTTGATTGATGTTACAAAACATCAAACAGTTTTCTCTTGATCTGTTGAGTAGGAATTCCAGCCGTGGGGCAAAGGTTTTGGAAATCCTGAACGAGACGAAGGAGGAAACGTTCGTAGACATAAGTTTTCAAATTCCGTTCAACATGGGGTTATGGAGCCTCGTCCTCCATCCCGAGAGCTAGTAGGCACATTTTCAGTTTGGTTTATTCGCAGAATGCAAATTTCAGTTCACCCGAGTGCTTTGAACATGCAAAATTTGGATCAAAATTAACAGATATGTTAACTAAAAAGAACCCAGCAATGAACAGCTTAACAGAAAAATAGTTATAAGTTGTCTAGGTTACGTATTAAGTAGGTAGTAAAATCATACTCTGGAACGCAGAATGTGCGTAATTGGAACTACAGCGAGAGTAGGCAAAGTGTTCATCCATAATGATAGGTTATGGTGAGCTTTAATTTGCATTCTGTTCCTTACGTCTTTCACTCAACTGAACTGTATTGATGTCATGATATTCCCAATATTCTCAGTCCTGTAGAAGAGAAACGATGTGAATAAATAGAAGAGTAAAAAAAAAAGAGTATAAAACAAATAAATAATAAATAAAAACATTCAAAATGTGTAAAAAACAATAGAAGAACAACGAATAAAAATGACAATAAGTTATGTAAAAACAAGTAAAGAACATAAAAATTATAATAAATTATGTAAAAACAAGTAAAGAACATAAAAATTATAATAAATTATGTAAAAACAAGTAAAGAACATAAAAATTATAATAAATTATGTAAAAACAAGTAAAGAACATAAAAATTATAATAAATTATGTAAAAACAAGTAAAGAACATAAAAATTATAACAAATTATGTAAAAACAAGTAAAGAACATAAAAATTATAATAAATTATGTAAAAACAAGTAAAGAACATACAAATTATAATAAATTATATAAAAACAAGTGAAGAACATAAAATATATTATTGTATTTATGTAAGGGCGTGGCTTTGCCTCTTAGTAGCCGTGGTGGAAATGGGGCTCCTCAGGTGACTCTTAGCGGAAACCCGAAAACCCGTCTGCGAAGTACCCTAGGAGTAATAGGAACTTCTGGTAAGTTCTGTTATTCCCTACACCCCCCCTCTCTCTCTCCATTTTCTTTTTGTCATAGAAACTTTTTAAGTAATCGATGTGGTGGTGTTTTCATTACAAATTCATTATCATTCATCTGTTTAGGCCATTTTGTTGGAGATGAGGGCTCGACACCTTGTGGTGAAAAGGAGAATTACAATCCGTGGGGAAAGCCTGGAGCTGGTGCTCCTTTAAAAGATAATAAAGGGATTGGGAAGGATTTCATGGAGAAAATGGTATTCATGTTTATATTTCCTTCTTAGTTGCTCCCCCAGTTGCTCAGCGGTAAGCTGCACAATGGGCTGTTTCACTCTGCCCACCGTGGTATTGGCAAACTTACAGTAGACACACAGGAGAACAATTTTCTGTTAATATACAGCATTTAAGGAGGGCAAAACATATATGTATACAGTTCATAATAATTTCAACTAGTTTTATTCATATTATGAATTTTCTTGTTTAATGTCCCTCTTACAAGTGTTCTTTACAGATTTGTTGGGCCCGGCATGGCCAGGTGGTAACGGCGCTCGACTCGCAATCT